AGGGTCCAAGGCGCCGGAGACAAAAAATTCTTGAACATCTTTCACTACATCAGATCCGATGATATCCCAAAAAGATTGATAAAAGCTGGCCGAGAAACCATCCGGTCCCGGTGCTTTGTCGGGGTTAATGGAGAAGAGAGCTTCCTTTACTTCTAGTGGACTCGGTATGGCAATCAATGTATCATTCATCTCCGCGGTGACCAAAGGTGTGATACCTTCTGCAACCACCAGAGATGAGTCAGACATTTGTGCCGTAAAGATCCGAGTAAAGTAATCAGTGATGCAGTGCACAATATCTTCTTCTTTATAAACCGCCTTGCCATCATTGTCTTCAATTACCGAAAACTTGTTTACTGCACGTCTCCCTCGAGTAGTAGCGTGAAAGTAACTAGTATTCCGATCTCCACATTGCAGCCAAAGAAGGCGGCTCCGTTGGCGCCAGTACTGTTCTTCTTCTTTGTAAGCAGCCTCCAGTTTTTCAGTAAGTAATCCTATTAGCAAGGTGTCGGGTGCTGAACTAGATAGAGCTTCTTCTAGTTCCTCCTGGGCAGATTGGATCATTAAGTTGCTGTTGATGTTCTGCTCCCGAGTCCATTTTATAATGCTGTGTCTGATGTTCCCGATCTTGATCCATACTGAATTTGATGGTTCAGAGTGCCATTCAGTTTTGACCAGTTCTCTGATTTCCGGTTTATTTTTAAGGCGTCTATCAAACCGAAATAAACCCTTTTTCTTCTTGATGGATGCGTCAAAGTGAACGACAATAGGGCGATGGTCAGAGCCCTCGAATCGTAAATACTCACAGCGTCCCGACGGAAATTTCTCCGACCAGGAACAGTTCGCCATTGCTCTGTCTAATCTCGATTGGATGAAGTGGGTGTATCGAGTTCCTCGCCAAGATAAGTGATTCCCGGAATGCTGGAGATCCCATAAGCCCATTTGGGAAACAAAACTCCTAAAGGATAGGAAGGATCCTTCCCAACGAGCAGGACCTCCGACTTTCTCGGAGTTATCGAGGAGATCATTGAAGTCTCCTGTTAGAAGCCAAGCATCGTCTCTATCTGTTCCAAGTTCCGTTAGCTTGTTCCAAAAAGCTGGACGATCGGAAGGGTTTGGTGCGCCATAGATTAAAGGAGACGAAACAAAAGGTTCCGTGTGCCTCTATTCTGGTATCTATTATATTAGGCGAAGAGTAAAGGATGTCAACCTGAATATCGTCTTTCCAAGAGAGGGAGAGACCTCCTGCAAGACCAATGGGGGGGACAGTGTAATGATTGGTAAGCTCGGAGTCCTTGAAAAGCTTGAAGAGAGCGTCGTCTTGGTTCTTAGTTTCCATGAGAAATAAAACTGCAGGTGAAATTCTCTTTCGGAATTCCTTAATACGCTGGACCGTCAAGGTGCTCCCAATGCCTTGGCAGTTCCAGCTCACGCAGGCTAAGGAAGAGAGTTTTGAGGAGGATGAAAATCCTTCTTCTTATCCTTGCGCACCATTGGAGGGATGAGCTTCCGTGTGAGAGAGGTCTTCAGTTTCTTTGATGGGATTCGGGCCACTGTAGCGGCATCAAGTCTCTGCTTTCTCCGTGGTGAGGAATGGGTTTTAGTTGTGCGTCTCCGTTTTGCCATGGCTTGAGGCTCCATGGCAATCCTTTTCCCCGCAGCTTTTGAAAGCGAAGTTTCGTGTGGTTGCAGGTGCAGAGCATCATCGCCATCATCTTCGTCTTCTGACCTGAGTGGTCCTAACCGGAGTGAAACATGCACTCTGTCTTCACTCAAGGTTCTGATAGGGGACCGATCACCTGGTCCAAGTCTTCCTGTTTCGAAGATGTTCGAACTCGATGGACGAGTAATGGAATTTACAGCAAGAGGCAGGGGAGGTTCTGTTTCCAACGTAGGAAAATGCTCTTGAGATGGTAGTGGCTCAGAAGAAGCCAAACCAGCTCTGCTAGTTCTTCTAGTGTTTACAGAGAGCCTTTCTTTTGCTGACTTTCTTTCGTCACTTGAGATATGACCGGAGCGGGGGTCAGATAAGCGGGAAGCCAAGCTAGCTCTCCTCTGTCCCGATGAGGGGATTGAGGCAGGTGAGGGGTTTGATCTGGAGCTAATATCCCTGGCAGGTGTAGTATGGGAACCTTGAGGGAGCTCAGGTGCTAAGGTTTCCTTGTGAAGTAAGTTATCTCTCTTATGGGGGTTGGAGTGACGATCCTGAGGTTGATGATGGGGTAGAGAACCTCTATGTGAGGAGGTACGATGCGACATGCTGCGATCATCGTAACGTCTCCTATTTTCTTCAAATTCAGAGCTTCTTGCAGACTCAGCATGAGAGGAGTAGTTCCTAGTGTACTCTGGCTTACGATTTGTCCAACGTGCTTCCCTAGCGTGAGAAGGCAGTTGCTGGCGTGCAAATTTTCTATCATCCTGCCTCCTGCGACCTTCCTCAATTCGGTCTAAGGTGTTTTGTTGGGAGATTCCCACTTCCCTTCTGTTACCCTTTTGGTGACTTGCAAGAGGACATGGGTTACTTTCACTATCTTCATGACTGAGAGATTTACAGCAGAAGCAGTGTTTTTGGAGATTTTCAAACTCCAACTCAACCTCGATAATATCTTTGGAGGGAAGTTGTAAGTGCATTTTCATGACGAGGGGCTTGAGACCGTTTACTTGAACTCGCAGTCGAGCTTTATCCACCTCGCGGTCTTCAATGGGACCAAGAGCAGTCCCAATAGCTTCAATGGTTTTGTCTGTCCAGTAATGTAGTGGGATACCGTGGACACGCACCCAAAAAGGGATGATGGATGGGAAGGAGTCTGAGACTATTGGTTCCCACCTTTGAAGAATGAACATCCACTTCTTGAAGTGGAAGGGAGCCTTTGAGAGAATGGTTTGTAGGTCTTTTTCCGATTCAAAACCAAATTGAAACAGCATCGGTCCAAGATCCCTACCTGTTATTCTACCAACAACATTCCAATGTTGTAAGAAAAAGTCGACAAGAGCCCTTGTCTTCTGAACCGAAGGATTGGTCAGTTTTCCTATGAGAGTGAATTTGTTGCGGTCAATGAGGTCTGAAACATCAGACTCAGGAATTTTGACAAGAGGTTTTCGTTGGAGGAGGTTATCATCATTCCATTTTCCTTTGTCAGCTCTAGAGAAGCGACGAGACATCTTGACAATTAAGGGAGATGAGGACTACAGACTGTAGTAAGGATGCGACGAGCGAGGGGTAGAACAAGGTGAAGACTACAGATCGTAGTAAAGGTAACAAAAGTGCAGGGGACTACAATGAGCAGTGAACAGATAAAAGACTCTGAGAAGAGTCGATTGTGAAGCTGCAAGAGAGACCAAAGACGAAAGTTCGTCGGAGTCTACAGCCTTTCGTCGAGCTCAGGCAAGTGGTAAGAGACTTCACAGACCGGAGATGGCCGGAGAAGGCGGTCCCTCCGACATGGTCGGGGGAAGAACCCGGAGAGTAATAACCAGAATAGCTTTTATATAGTGGTTATTACTAGAAATGGGAGGACTTTTGAAATTTGCAGGTCTGAGGTAGGTGAAAAGCAGACAGAAGGGGAAAGTCAACTTTAGAACACACGAAAGGACCAGCGGTTAAGAGGAGCTCTTGGTAAAAGTGCCTGGGAGAGAAAATCGCCTTCTTTCGGACGAAATGCAAGCTTTTTATGTTGGTGCTAACCTTTTAACTGGAAACTTGACCATGTATATTTATATATGATATCTTGGTGGTAATTATACTCTGAAATAATAGTACTTCAACTACAATAGCTGATCGTTTTTTTTCCCTTTACAGGATGTGGATGAAGAGATTGTGTATGATACTTTCAGCGCATTTGGTAGCATTTCTTCTAATCCTAAGGTAGAATCTTTATTATTGTTGATGATATAGTATCTTTAATCTATGAGTATATGTCATTGAGGTGGGGAAAAATAATGGTTGTACGCTTAAGAATCTGATGCTCCAACTTTTCATTTTAGATAATGTGAAATCATGATACTGCGAACTCACAAGGTTTCAGCTTCATTAGCTATGTCTCCTTTGACGCATCTGATGCTGATATTGAGGTAATTCTTTTAATATTTTTGCTCCTTGATGATAACTACTTCTACAAAACTGGCTACTAAAATGAGATCCGGTCACGTAAATGACAATGTGAATAAACTTCTACGCCTAAATACAAATCTATGCATGAGATCTACGGTGTGTCTTAGTATGTCTGACGGGCTCGCAATTCATTGTTTTCATGTATCATACACCACCATTAAAATTTCTGAGTTTGTCTCTCACAGTGATGAAACCAAGGAGAAGATAAGAGCTTCAATGATACAATTTCGGGCTGAAAGGTCAAGAACCAAACTATTAAAGGAGAGGCTCACTACTGGTCAGTGAACATTGCAGAAGCTGAAATGGAAGAAGGAAGTTGTGAATTAGAGTTTTATTGGGATAGCTACAAAAAGCCAAAAAGGAAATTTCATCTGAGCCGAAGCTTGAATTATCCGAGGAGAAAGTAAGAAGAAAGGAAGAAAACAAAATGAGAGCAGAAGAAGCTGCACACGCCAATACAAAGAAGATGAGGGTTGTAGAAAGAAAAAAAGAATATCATAGAGATCAAAAATAATGACAATCAATGGGAAAGATTATAATATATTTTCAGTTTGTCCAATATAATCATGCTCTAACAATCATAAGATCCAAATATATCATTATTTAAATTAAGTCAAGCGCTAATGGGTGGATATCCAAAATATGTGCCATCAACGAAACAAATTATCAGCAACTCAGCCAAAAATACTCATATGTTCTTTAAACCTTGGTCTCCGTTGTAGTCATGTTCAAGGTTTAGTTTACTTTTTTTAAAAAAATTGGTTTACTAATGACTTGGTTCATTTCCACTGATAGCTTATATACTTTAGACATATTAGTGTTAGTAAATCAACTTAGAGTTTAAAATCATTTCTTACGAAACTTTTGGACCCATTTGTGGGGCTCATTAGCCATGTCCAGCATCCACGAAGTTCTACAACTCCAGACCATCAAACGTTACATTATACTATTGTTTAGGCAATCCCAAAAGTATGAAAATATATGTCACCCTAACAAAAAGTCATCCTCTACATTTAACCATCTGAAAAATATATTGCGTCACACTTCACAGAATCTAAACATATGTCTGCCTGGCAATATGGTGAAAACAAAAACTATACACAAAGCAGGCAATACACTCCATCCAAAGCTAGAAAGAGCGAAAATGTACAGGAACTCAGAGAGGACTCATAAACTCAACATGTTAAATCGTTAAAAATGAAACTATCCAGATAGAGAAAATAAACGAAACGGACATGTTCTACACAAATACTTCCCACTTTAACGTTACAATATTACCAAACTCAGAAATCAATTAACCGGGAAAGTGGAAACCACATAACCAAACAATCAACTCTTCCCTTTCTGCAAGTTCTCCCAAAAAATTACTTACTTAGATACTACTCTGTAATAACCCTAATATACACATAATCTAAGTTATCTATAACAATATAGGTTCCAGTAAAACATAGCACACACATTTCCTCACTTTCAGTTCCAAATGATTTTGTTATGCAGGGGAGAGGAGGAAGTTGGAAAAGCCATGTTGGATAAGCTGGGTTGGAGACAAAACCCGGCCCGCGCAGACAGGTGCTGGAAAAATATAAAATGTTCTCTTCATAGAGTTAATGTAGCCACTCTAGACACTTACGTTACATCATACACAACGACAAGGGCGACGATCAACTGTCACCGTGATGACTTCAACGTCCGCTGTGCAACGTGCTTTTACTACCAGAAAATAACAAAATTTGTTTTCGATTTTTAATTATATTATGCACTTCATCGTTTTGATTTCACTTCTCGACTCCCTTAATCTAATAAAAGAAACCATTTTCTATCTCGGTTGGAAAAACAAATTAACAACCAGAAAAAAGCACTCAGTCAAAAAAAATTTACTATCGAAACGATAGATAACGGAGAGCCATTCCGTGGAGACGTCACTGTCATCACATTATAAATATACAGATACCCAAATACTTTTCATCACGTTCAATCACCACTAACAAAACTTCACATTAGACATTTACCACATAACTACGACCAAATATCATGGGACTAATTTACATAATTAAATTATTGGAAAATAATATAAAATATAATTACGCAGACTTACACTGAAACACATAAAAATACCCCGGCAGGAAATAAAATAAAATCCCAAAAATGTATACATTACAAATTAAAATTTTATATTGTAAACCCAGCGCGTAGCGCCGGCCCACCCCTAGTAGACAATATTCCAAACCCCTATCATATTTTTTTCAAAACCAATCATTATCAAATACATCATCACACCATTCAAAACGAAACTGAACACCCAAAAAATGCATCCAAATCACCTGAGACATGACGGAGAAAACATCATCCTGCTGATTACTCATACGCGCAGGACCCGAACTTGATCCAAACCCAACATACTTCCCTCCTTGCGAAGGAGGACACCCCTCAGGCTTAGACTCATTCTCCGCCATCCTCCTCGCAAAGAAACTCTCCAGCTGCGACCTCGTGTAAACATCTTCCGACGACATTGACTTCCCCCGTACACCACCTCCTCCTCCTCCTCCTTCCCTAAAATTATTCTCCGATTGATTCTGTCTCATATCAGATCTAACTGAATCATCACTACCCCAAGCATCCCATCCCCCTCTACCCCCACCGCCCTAAGTCAACGGAGGCTTCTTACGCCCCACTTCCTTAACAACAGGCGGATCACTCCACGGCCTACCTTCAGTCAATGCTATCCAAACCCAGGCGGATCACTTCCAAACCTATATCGTTCAAGAGATCTCTTCTCCTACAAAGACCTTCGACGATGCTCCCCCTTGCCACCGGAGACGAGATAGAGAGAAAGCTACAGAGATACAAAGATCGATTTGTAGAGAGAAAATAAGAAAATAAGAAAATAATTTATGTATGTTTAATTATCTAGGGTATAATGGTCTTTTGTCTATTAAAAAATTTTAGGATAAAAATGATTAATGTAGAAATGAAATAGTGTACCATGAATGTGGTAGTTTTGGCAAATTCCCAAAAATCTTTGCCCTGTCGGTAAATCAGAAACATTGGTCATGGAGAAAAGAAAAGTATAATAGGAAGAAAATAGATTTTTTTTTTTAATATAATGGGTTTATGTCTTTACATATGCTTTTTCTTTATTGCATGCATGCTTTCACCATGCTGAATTTTGGTGAAATAAACATTTTTCAGACTTTCTTCAATTATTGTGTATTTCTTAACTTCCCCTTGCTTACTTTATTAATATTACATGTCCTCTTTACCACTAAAATGTTCAAGTCAACATAAACAACCTTATAAAAATACCATATTCCACAACTCTGCAATTTCAAATGATATATATCCACCATTTCCATAATATATCCACCTTCACAGAAACACTCTGGTAGTCTAAAACCTCTTAAACCTTACTCTCTACTCTCTCCAAAACCTACGTCTTTATCCTTCACTATATATTTCCAATAATACCTATAGCATTACACTAGAACCACAAATTATAGTCAACATCCCCGTGCTTGCGCGGAGCTACGCCCGGGAAAATGGCTTATTTCAACCTGAATTTTACCAGTCGTGCCTATTCCTTCCCGAACTTTGTAGTAGTGCGCATTTTATACTGAACTAAATAAAAAATAAAAAAATACTACCTGAACTTTACTTATCGTGCCTTTTCATTCCCGAACTTTATAGCAGTGCATATTCTACACTAAACTAAATAAAGGTATAAAAATACTACATGAACTCTCAAATCGTGCTTATATATATAAACCATCAAATTTGTTAGTCATCCATTAATTATCAAAACGACGTTAGTTTTGATAAGTTTTCTAAAATAGATATTTTAAAAGACTACATAAACTTGTAAAATCGTGCTTATATATATATTAACCATCAAAGATGTTACACATGCGGTAATTTATCAAAACGACGTCATTTGTTATAAATTCTGTAAATTAGTTTAAATATACAACGCAAACTCTTAAAATTTTGCTTATATATATATATATATTGATCATAAAAGATGTTAGTCTGTTAATTTATCAAAACAACGTCATTTAGGATAAATTCTATAAAACTAAAAAAATTATGGGATGTTCGAATTCTCACACTAATGAACAAGTATAAAATGAATATTTAAATTAATAATAATTAAGTTAAATTTTAAAATATTATTATTTGTACATTTAAAGTTAAAACATAAATAGTTATAGACTGATTTGATTAATTAAAAACAAAAAACAAAAAACAAAAAAAATTGATAACATTTATTTGATTAAAACTTATATAAGTTAATGTTTACACAATTTATACAAGAAAGTTACTTTGGTGTAGCAATTTTTATGCTCATACTTGTTTACCAGTGTGAAAGTTTGAACCTCCCAAAAAGGAATTTTTAATTTTATAGAATTTATCCAAAATGATGTTATTTTCATAAATTAACTGATGAGTAATATCTTTTATGATTAATATATATATATATAGGGTTGGCTGCTTATTCCC